ATTTCAGAAAAAAAGTTCACAGATGCAAGCTTTTGAGAACGCGCTACTAGAGCAAATCAAGGAAGTGTTAGTGGCTGATCGTTTAGATGATTCGAAAGTTAAAGTGGTAGTAGAAGTGCTTAAGGTAATTTTTAACTGCGATTTTCAAGTTATATGAACTTTTATGTGTTACACTCTCATATCAACATATTAGTGAAAATCATAAATCAATTTGCATCTGTGATTTTTTATGTATATCGAAATTTCCACGAGATTTTTATTTCAGCTTACTGGTCGTTATTTGGATATAGATGAAGGAACCTCGAAAATTAACGAGATTCTCACACAATTGAATGCTATTGCCAAAGCACATCCAGCTATCAGCGAGTAAGGATATTGTTATTATATAGTTACTAATGTTTTTTTAATTGCTTGTCTGTTTAATTCTTTCAATGAAATAATGCACTTTAATAACAGCATTTACAATTATAACATCTGTTATCTACAGTTCTCAGTCTATTATCTACAGTCTGTTATCTGTCATCTGTAGTCATCTACAGTTATAATTGAGCAAAATAGTTTTGACAAGAAGCATGGTAAAATGTATTTTTTTAGAAACTCGTTAAGTGGGTTGATGTCATTCCTGTATAGGCTAGCTGAATTCCCAATCGAACAAATTGTTGCTTGCATGGTAGAATTGATAGTAACTGTAAAACGGTTATGCAGCTAACAAATTAAGATAGACCAACCTAAAATATCTCTTGTCATACTATCTTAAAGAAACCAATAAACAAACAAAGAAACAAAAACAATTAAAGAAACAATAGTTCCCAACGGTTTTATTGTTCTATATCTTTTTCTCACCTAATTGGTATAAGGATGTTATGTTTATCATTAATTTTTGGAAAACATCTAGAGGATAAGTATAATTTTTGCTGTATACGACATTAGTCATCTTTTAAAGTTCACTGGTCTCGAGATGTTGTGGTTTTTAGTTCTGTGAAGGAACGAATACTAAGTTTGAATACGTGGCGTGAAAACAAATGGGATGTGAGAAATTTTCGAACTAATAAAGAAGAAAAACCAGCAATTGATGTGAGTTGTCTAGATTTATGTCGCAAAATTTTGGATGTTCTCCTCTTAACCTACTAGAAAAATTCATTCATTTATCTTTTAAATTCTTATCAAACAGATTCAAAATGTCTTCAGATATTCTCTGAAAAAATCAAATTGATATAAAGTTTAATGATTTCAGCAAAGTCGTAGAGAAAATGATCAAGGCTTAACGCCATCTTGCTCATCCAGTTTCATCATTGGCCCTGATGGACAGCCACTGACCGAAGAAGAACGAGCTTTCCTGGAAGAGAGCTTTCGTAAACTGGATAATAATGATACGATTTTGGACAATGATGATGTGAGCGATGAGTACGATGAATTTTTGTCGGCAGGTCAGCAAAAATTTTGTTAAATTAAAATATTTGTAAGATTTGCTTTTTTTTCATTATAATCAAGTTATAAAAAAGATCGTAAATTTTTTTTCCGAGCGCTTCGACAAAAGAGAAAATAATGCTGGTCTTTAATTTTTTTATTTCAGCTCTAATCTGTTTAGTTCGAAGATGAAAAACACTTAATTTCAGTCGCTAATGAAGAAGCCAAAAAATGTGTGGCAGAAATGGAAATGGCTGAAATAGAAAAGCAGATGGCAAGAACTAATCTGGATAGTGAAGGTGAAATCCCTCAAAATCGGGATGAAAAGAACAAAGATATTAATACATAGAGAGGAGATCAAAAAAATGGATAATCAGGTTATGTTGGAAAATTTGTAATATGAATGATAGTAATCTTTCAAATTTTTGATAGAAATGTTACTACTGAATGAACTTTACCGAGGTTTCCAGTTCTATTGAATTTGTGCGATTTTAAATTATGTGGTTCAACTTCTTATTTGTGCTTTTTAAAAAACACCTTCAAAAAAAGACATATATGTACAGCAGTCACTTACTACTATTTCCGCAAATTTTTTTTTTCAGTTGGTAAGGTCGAATTTCATTTACTTCCAGGGTTAAGGTTTCTTTCTAATTAGAAAGTCCCAGCCATAATGGATTGGATTTGTATTGGTAACCAATTTCTTTATAGAGCCTGTTTCCTATGGTTTATTTTCTATTTTTTACTATTTCCACAGTGTACGAGTCCCATATTGCAAATGCTGTAATTTTTATAATCTCGGTAGTGGATGATATTATTTTTGCCGATTTGAGTTTCTTTTTATTTTTTAAACTCTCTATCACGCACTCTAAAGAAGTAAGTTGCAATAAATTTACATGCGTACTTACAAATAAAATGAGCAGTGATAGGGAAATAAATGACTGATTGGTTCAGCAAAAGCGACATTTTATCGTTCATTTTGAGCACTGTCCTTTTAGAAAGCTGGTTCCATGACATGAATTCTTGTCGTAAGCAAAAGTTAAGAGTTAATTCAAATGTACACTAAATATGCGAATTTTTTTTGCTAAAATATATGTTTTTGTTGAGCAGTATCCCACATGTGAGTTTATGCAGTAAATTATTTGCTTTAATTTCAAAATAGGACTACAGATACATAGTATTATGTATTCTGATCATAAACTGCCAACAAAAAAGATATTCGTAATTTAATGTACAATAAATTGTCTTTTGAAAATTTATTTTCTTTTCATTGTATAGATTTACGTGTCAAATCAATTTTTGCTATGTACATAATAGTACTTATTAGCGAAAAAGGATGAGTGCATTCAGTACCTCACGTGGTGTCACATCACATAATGCTATATTTTCACTTTTTTCTCCATTCTTTTAAAAATGATGGCTCTAGAAGTTATTTGTCCTTTCCTGTATTATGTTTGTGTGCACACGTTGGACACGGTATGACCGTGTAACTTCTTGATCCTCCCATGAAATTTTATGATCACTCTACCTTCGGACTTCCAATGTATTTTTTATTTTCTTCGTCTAATTCATGTATATCTGTTGTGAATAAATATGGTTGCACACCAGTGGGCTTACACATTAATTCATTCCTATTCTGTTGCATAGGAACTTTTCATCGGATCGACATGTACCACTCCATATAAATAAATGTCTTCAAAATTCTCTGGAAACTCCAGTTCGAACAATTTTTACCATGAGGAAAAATTACTAAAAACCTGATTTGGCTTAACAATTTTTTTAGCTATGCTACATTCGGCGATATCGTTCGTCATGCGCTTTGTTGCAGCAGATAATTCTGGTAAATTTATGTATTTTCCAACGCCAACACCATACATTTTTGGTTTTGGAATTTGTATTACTGCAGTTGGCGCACTTGCAACTGTTTCTGGAATTCATGAATTTCCATTCACGTACTTCATAAAAAACATCGCTAAATTATGCCTTTGTGCCTTTGTTTTACGTTACAAGTTAAAACGATTCATAATATGAACCGTTTTAACTTCTAATGTGAAACAATTCTATGCAAACAACTTTCAAGGCAATTTTGTTTTGCTCGAATTTAAAAGATGAGTAAAATCGTACCAATTTCTTGATTACTTTTTGTTAAGCGAATATTTTCCCTTTCTTTTTCCACCGCTATTTCAGCCTCCTCGAAAGGATCAACAAAAATTTCTGAGTTAAGAAAAATCACATCTACCTGAAAAATAAATAATGGATTCAAAAATACATATGTTTAGACATATGAAACTCTCAAAATTAGGTACTTACAATTGGACGGTTACTTTCATCAGTTTCTACTTTTTCAACGGCGTTCAATGTCCCAGTTCCACCCACAATACGTCCAAAAATAGTGTGTTTGCCATCCAGGTAACTGCATGACCGAAAAGTAATAAAACTGAAAAAAGCATGATTATGAAGTACTTGTAATCACATAAATGATTATTCATAAAATTATTTGGTAAAATGTGTGCCACCCACAACACCTGCTAACTTGAAATACACAAGATACCGGCATTTGAAGAATTTTTTAAAAAACACTTTAAAGAATAATACTTACAATTGCGACTTATTCGTATCTGTTCCCTGGTTTGCCATACTCAGTATGCCACGTTGATTATGACTAAGGGATGATATTATTTCATCTTTAAAAGGCTTTCCCCAAATAGAATCACCTCCTTTGCCAGTACCTGTCGGATCTCCTCCTTGCATCTAAATGATATGCGAATTTACGAATTCTTACACATATACCAACACTCTATTTCGTAATATTTAACTTCATTTAAACGTTCACTTAAGCATCTTTCACTAACAGTGGTTAGTGAAAATTCAAAAAAAAAGTTTTAGTGTTATGATATAATTTTTGGACTGTTACTGCTAGTTAGTTTCACTAACTAATGGAAGCATAAACATTGATAATAAGTTCGATTTACCGGAAAGAACTATAATGAAAAATTCTAAAAGCTAACCATAAAGTTCCGAATGATTCGGTGAAATTTGGTATTGTTGTAGTAACCATTTTTGCAATGCTTGATGAAGTTTTCACAAGCTCTTGGAACATCTTTACAATATAATTCAAGATTTATTGCACCATAATTAGTTACGATTCTTACATAACCATTCTTGTTTACCCTTGCATATCTTAAAACAAAAACCGGTGAATATATTACATGAATTGAAGACCAAAATTACTGGAAACTTGTAAAAATTGCGGTAAACCATTTACTCTCAATTTCAGGTGGTAAATTTTGTAAAAAGATTTTTTACTTGACAGTATCAGCATCAAGTATAGCTGCCTTCTGATGTGTTATAGGCTCCATCGTCGTCGATGTCAATCCTGCAGCTACACGACCTTGACTATAATGTGCTGCATTAAGTTCATCTGCTGCTTCTTCTTCTATTTCCTCTTTTTTCTAAATGACGTCTAGATTTTATAAAAACGAAATTTTATTCTGAAGAAGAAATTGATTGAATTTTGAAATTTATGAAGTAATAATGCACATGCAAATATCTTTCTTACTCAGGACTTCATTTTTTAATTGCAATATACAATTATTCAGCAGAACCACTGGCAGTTTGAGTTTATGAAATATCTCCTAAACTTACTGCTGGGACATATTTTTTCGCCAGCTTCTCCAAAATTTCTTTAGTTTCGTTATTCATTCGCCGGATATAAAATTTCGGATCTTCCATGGCTTTCTTTTCAGCTTCAATTTCAGATTTCGTCTTTAAATCCAATTTTACATGGTGAAATTGTTCAATGTTAAATTTTTCCAAATGATTTGGGTCCTGCAAAAAACGTTAAGGAAGTCTTTATAACACACAGATATCCTAATGTTGCCGATGATGTCACTTAAAATAAGGACCCTCTATCTTAAGAATTTTAAGTAGTTGACGTTGTTATAAAAATATTAAGTGAATCTAAAAGTTGCCATGCCTGAAGAGTGATGATATCTTTCTTTTGAAATGGTTCATCGGTTAGAAGATCTTTCAGGTGTCCGCGTTTCAAGTTCAATTCTTCGACAGCCTCAAGTGAATATACATTTCCTGTCTGACAGATGGCCACAATATGACTAGTGGGTGTGAAGACACGAAACGTAACAGGACATCGGAAATTACCTGCAAATATAAGATTTTCTTATTTTGGAGATATAGAAATGTTTTGGCTGGCTTCAACTTACATACAACACACATTATGCGTGCTGCAAAATATATGCATATCAATTAGTGCTAAATCTATGAATATTCTCCAATGTCCTTTTTTTCCGCCGATCAATTCGAAATTCTCTCAAACACAGAAAAGTATATTCTCA